TTTGGCTACCTTTCCCAATTAGTTTTTCTTTTGGGAAGGGGCTTTTCTTCATCAGTACGGAGCCTATCTGGTGGTGGCGACTCTAGCCTATCTGGTGGTGGCGACGCTAGCCTATCTGGTGGTGGCGGCTCTAGCCTATCTGGTGGTGGCGACTCTAGCCTATCTAGTGGAGGCGACTCTAGCCTATCTGGTGGTGGCGACTCAAGCCTATTGACACAGAAAATAGATCCGAAGGCCAACGGCAGTTATGGAAATACAAAGAGCAAGGAAAATCCACAGTTTGGCGTCGAGCACGAGCTACTCGCGGAATTCACGGATCTTAAGCGCAGATAAACGCCACCATCGCAATTTCAGCGCAAGAGCGAGTGCAAATAACCAAACCATGTACTTGTATGGTTTGCTACTTTTGATCCACACATTCTCCGCAGTCGTTACTCTTCTTTATCAGTGTAGATGTAAATTGGCACCGCACTTGAAGTCCAGCTTACATTTACTCGTATGCACGTCTGTAGTTTCCAGCGACTGCAGAATTGCTTCCTACATATAGAACTGTGTCTTGGACAAACCACACTGGTGAATGCAGCAACCCAGACATCCGGCATATGCGAGAGCTCATCAGTGATATGATTTGAGACTGAAGGTTCAAAGCGCAAGTTGTTTGTGAACACGATCGTGGCTTCAGAGAACGGGGATATTGTCGACAGGCCAATCTGCTCAACATCCTCTGCATAAACCTCAACATCTTGCAATCGCGACCAGATCGCTACGTATTCATCTAGTATTCCATTACAGCGATCAACTAGGTCACGTCGTATTTCAATCCCAATGCTCTTTCGAACAGTCGTCGAAAGTACAAATTGAGCTACTACGTTTCCCACACCAGAGCCAATATCCAAAAACACATCCCGAGTCCCAACCGTATCAATCTGCCGTATTAAAGCAATCAATGTGGACACCCCACTTGGTAATATTTCCCCTGCATTCAAATAAATAGCGCCGGGAGGATACGCAACTTCACTCCGAGTAATTTTTTCGAACATTGCAGCCACAGCTTGATGTACATCACGAGGCACCTTGTCCTCTTGAATCAATGAGCTAATTGCTGGTACAACGTTCCTTTGCGTTGGAAGAACATCAGCTTTGGCTGCCGCTGTTGCGATAGGCCCCGGTACTCTCAACATGCACTTCGAATTTACACCCATCGGCGACAAAGCGTGTGCTCCTGAGGTCTGGCCAGCGCCAGGCGTCACCAAAAGAGACTTGTGAGCTTTTGTAAACGGTATCGTAACTTCCAAGGTCGAAGGCACAAATTCCATCTCCTTTGAACGAAATGGGGATCAAACTAGTTCTCGTGTGAAAACAATTCCGCTTGTTCGCTGGCTAGACTCCTGTGCTTGCACCTTGGTTAATCCGATGCCACCACGAGACTGTCGGATGAGGAGAATTTGAGAGCTTCTGCGACCACGGGAGGCACGGACAGGAGTGTAAAAGCAGCGCGGAAATTTCGATAAGTCCGAGCCGAAGGTGCGCTTTAACGAGTTCATTCGCTGAGCAGGTTCCTTAGGAGACCGCCCCCAACGTGTCATCTTCGTGGCGACATCCTTCCACGCAATGCGCACCCCTTGGTCAACATATTGACGTGCCGTTTGCACCAGCTCCTTGTCCTCCTCCTCGAGGAAGCTAGTGCTCGGCATTATTCACGAATGAATTAGCCACCGTCCTACTATGACATTCAGTATAAAATTTGTGGGGAGAACACAGTAGCAGACATGCTGATTTGAGTATGTAAATTCAAAGAAGACAAATCCTTCGTTGAATTGCTATTGTGATTTTTACGGAAGGACCAACTAAACTTTGAAACGATGAAGCTATAAAGTTTATAGTAACAATCTATGTCGGATCCAAATAAAAAATCCATCGTAAAGGCTGTAGGTCTACTGTGATCAATGTGGCAGCTTCTCTGTTGTTTTCCATTGGGACTATAGCTACTAATGGACGGGCATAATTTCAACATAGTGGCATGTATTCAACTCGTAAGCGATGCTGGTAGAGTGCTCGTGCTACGACGAAAGTGTCGTCGTCACAAAAACCTATTGGTACTAGTATGCGCTTTAGAAGGTCACGATTTTTGCAACGGATATAACGATGTACTGGAAAGTACTAAAGTAGTACAACTGATGCGAACAATTCAAATTTGGCGCGAAGTTGAAGTAGTGGAAAAGATACGGGCTGTATTTCCCCCCCCAATGTTCACATCAATAATTCCACCAATAAGGTATTTGTACTCATAGTGGCATGTCGTGTGATTGGTGGAGCCACACATTCAAGAGTTGTGATTGGAGGAATTGTGGCTTCCACAGCGTGCTCACGGGGCGAGCGAATATGGTGGCAAAATCTCGCCGTGCGGAGCGCGGCAAACGAAGGCTCATTTCCAAATTCGACGAAAGCCGCACAAGTCCAACAGCTCAATGACCGCCACTGTCATCTTCGACCACACTAGTGCTGCCTCCCACTCCCGTACAGCCAACCCAGCAAGGCACTGATCCGCTTTGGCTAGGCGGAGCCTTGCTTGCCACATATGGATATTCATCGACGGACCCGAGCTACTGAAGAACCTGTTCGGTGGTACACCCATCTGCGGCTTAACCAAGGAGATGCGGGAGGGCTTGGTCATGGCAGGTTTACCTCAGATCACGACCGAAGAGCTGATCACAATCCTGTGGAACGCCGAATGCGTACTCTGCTCCTTGGCTCTCCTTATCGCCTCGGATATCGTCATCGGTCGCCCCGCCTTCAAACTCCTTAACGGCTCAGTGCACGTCGGACGCGAACACAGTCTCATAAGCTAGATGTACTACTACATGGCGCAAGTGAGCAAAACCCGTATTTAAACGGCAGACGTACCTCGTCCAGGGTCGAACCGTTGCAATAGCATAATTACGCTGGACGGATATGGAGCCGTCACCGCGGAGCTACTGAAAAAAATGGCGAATCATGGGTACAGGGTTTTCCGTACACGTACTAAGCTCTACGAGAACCGTCAGACAACGCACATATACGCTGCCCTGACGGCAGAAGTGCAGGAGGTGTGGGCAAGTTCGTGCTCTCGCCATGCCATCACAGCGCTGCCAAAAGGGTCTCCGCGCGTTATACAAGTGCGCCTCGTTGCCGCTAAGGTGAAGAAAGGCCTTCTCAGGATCAAGCACGTCTGCAACCACCAAAGGATTTCTGATCCGCTTTCGAACCGACGAAGGTCAGCAAAACAGATGTACTGGAGATCCTGTGGCACGTCAGAGCTGTACGCAACCACCACTGCAGAGCGGCAAAAGCGTCAGACTACTGGTGTGCTTATTTAATGCAGTTGATGAAGAACCGCTGAAGGAGCCGCAGTACGCTAGCATACACGGCTACGAAGCTGCTGAACGACTCGCTGCCCACCACATACGAGG